ATATGCTAAAAAGCTACCTACGTACCGAATTTTAAGCAAATCGGACCGTAAATACAATTTTTTCAAATAGATCGGTCCCTGGTCCACTTCTCGGAAAAAATGGATCATATATGCTAATACATGCTAAAAAGCTACCTGCGTACTGAATTTTAAGCAAATCGGACCGTAAATACGATTTTTTCGAATAGATCAGTCCCTGGACCACTTCCCGGAAAAAATGGATCATATATGCTAATATATGCTAAAAAGCTACTTACGTACCAAATTTTAAGCTAATCGGACCATAATAAGATTTTTTCGAATAGAACGGTCCCTGGTCCACCTACACGAAAAAAGTTAATTTTTTTAGCCTAAAACATGGTGGTTACCGAAAGCTATTTAGATACAAAATTTCATGAAAATCGGACCAGCCGTTCACGAGATTACCTGTTACAAAAAAAGGGACTTCTCTTTATATAATTAGTATAGATGGCGCCTACACTTTTGCTGGGCCGAGCTTCCCCTTGACCTTGTGGACAGTTTTACACCGCCTCAGCATGGCAAATTGGTTTTATAGGTTCATGGCAGAAATACACTCGGACGTTTGCCATTGCGAGATGTTGATGTTGATCGGACCAGGGATCGAACCCTAGTTCTACAGGGTGGTAATACTCACCTCTGACCACAGCGCCTTCTGCATTGCATATTGACCAAAAATTCGGACATAAAAAGCTGTACGCCATATGGCCGCAAATGCTCACACTGGAGCACAAACACCGTGAAGATGTTTCCTACGAATGTTTGGTAATGTTTTGAGATGTTCTGAAAAAATGGCTCGGTTTCAAAAGATTTCCCAACAATGAATAGTTAGAGTCTGCGGCTAATAGCCATTTTGAGTAGCTTCATGGTTTCTATTATAAAGAAGGTATCGAAGCTATTGAACATGGTTGGGAAAAATGTATCGAGCCATGTTGAAAAATTTAAAATATTTTCGGAACCGCCCTCGTATGTATAATTATTTGAAATAATAGAGTTTTTTATGGAATTTATAAAAACAGTGCTTTTTGTTATTTAGTCACTTAGTTAATAAGTTGCTTACCTTTATATTTACCTTCAGCGCCGATAATCCAGAATCTTGGAGATTTGCGAACGCAGATCTGATACCTGCCACGGGTATTATGGTTTTTGGTGAGTAATTTTTTATAAAGAATACCCACTTTCCATATTGTTAATAACACATTTATGTATTGTGGATTTTTCAACTTTATTTGCATTTATTGATTCAAATGTTTCAATAGCATTTTATTGCTGAATTAGTACGAAAGTGGCATTACTTTGACTGCATTGTTTTTTTGGCATGGCTGCCACTAGTGATGGAGAACTTTCGATGGGGCTACCGATAGTATCGATGATTTCATTTTGCCGCAACTATCGAATTTTTCTAAACACTATCGACAGTTGTATGTTGTTCACATTGTTGGAATTGGACTATGAAAGATGCAAATGTCTATATATGTATGTATGTTGTAAACTCCTTTGTTTGTAAACATGTTCTTCATGTTTTTTGTTATAAAATGTGTTATTGAAAAACACGATCTCATTATGTTTTACACAAGTTATTTTTGTGTATACAAATAATCTTTATGGTTTTTGGAGTTACGAAATGAGTTATTTAAGAATAAGATATATTTACAATTTCACCAATCAAATTTAAATTTGTCAGGCCGTTATAATTTAAAATGACGAAATTTTTAAGGAGATTGTGCTATTTGAAATTTAAGTTTGATACATTTAAAATTGATTGGTGAAACCGGGCATTAGTGTTATATCTCAACATATGTAAGAAAACTTTCGATAGTATCGAATATTTCGTACTATTACTATCGGAACAATGGAATGTATACACTATTGATAGTTTTCCAACACTAGCTGCCACATGCATACCGCACACATTCTTCACAAGCGTATTAACTCCAAATTTCTCGTTTTTCAGAAAATATGCAGAATTATTGACTTAATAACTGTTAATTATATTAACAAAGGCAATTTTACGTACGATTTTTTCCACAAATTATAAGAAAATTCGCTTGAGCTTTTCAATGCGCTCACCCCGAGGCTTAAAAATAGAATGCTTACTTTTTCACTTTTCTTGGCTTTTATTAACCCATTAAACGCGAAAGCTAAATAGCAAAGATAGAGGAACCAAACTTTGTGTGGATACTACAAGGGTTGATATGTATACAAAACTACCATCAAAAGTTTCGACCCCTATCCGGGGGGGTCTGCACGACCCGTGACATATATGTAACGCTCGCGGGTTTCTGTTGTGTAATACATTGTTTGATACTAACATGTAAATAAACACTTCCATTGGATTTAATTCATCAATTTTATTATTTTAATTATAAAGTTTACAAAAAGAAAACGAAACAAGTACAAACGTATGAAAATTCATCAATTTTTGGTTTAGAAAGAAAACTCAAACTGGTCTAAAGTGAAAGTTGTAGAAACAATCCACACACAAACCTACGTCACACTTTACACATTTGGTGTTTATTGATCGCTGGCAGTTGTTTCCAGCACAGCGTCTCCTGGTGGGATTTCTAACTATGAAATGGCCAATTAGGTCATATCTAGCATCAAGCTCAATTTGCGAATCCGGACGTCTAAATCCCCATGGTCCTCGGACTTTTCCATAAGTACGACAAAAGTGATTATCAATGGTTCTTCTAAACTGTAGCTGGGTTAGCCCGTGTCCGCCTTTTCTATGTAAGAGCCAAGCATTTTGAATGGAGACATCAACCAACCAGGTAAAAATTGAGAACCACCACTTCTTTCCTCTAGCTCCAATCCTGTAAGCGTTAACGTTTTGGTCCATACGGTCTGTTCCGCCCATATTCTTATTATACATTACGATAGCATTGGGGACTTGAACCTGAATTCGAGCATGTTCTGCCCTAGAGTATCTTCCAGCTGTCCCTACCGGTTCCTTCCCAAATAAAGTTGATGCAACGGAAACTACTGCATTGTCTACCCATTTCGTGACTGTAATATCGCATTCAGAAATCCGGGAACTAGCCATATAACCACGTTCCTTTTTTTTCAACTTATCCTTCAGTGGCAAAGGACAAGAGATTGGTATTGAATTTTGCCGAATTGTTCCAGTTCCCTCATATCCCATTTTTTTTAATCCAACCAAAACAGGTATTGAAGTGAAGAGATTATCGAAAAAGAATTGAAATGGAAGTGGCTTCCACGTTTCATCGAATTCATCGATCATTGAAAACAAAGGAGCAGCGTTCTTTCCATAGTTTGCAGCGTACTCTTCGTTCATCCTAGGGTTTTTTCCCTGATACATCTCGAAGTTTAGAAGATAACCGGAAGGCGTATTTAGACACCACATTTTATAACCAAATCTCAACGGTTTGCCTCTAATAAATTGTTTACAACCGTGCCTGCCGTAGTATTCCACCATTGATTCATCGTAGGACAAATTCCGCTCTGGATGAAAATTTTTAGCAAAATTCGCTTTCAAAGCATCAGTTAGGGGTCTCAATTTCCATATTTTATCCGATAAATCTGTCTTTCCGGGGTCAATAAAGTGTAGATTTCTAAAAATAGTTCGAAAACGATCACGCCTCATCGAGTCAATAATCACAAGATTTTGAATATCTTTATCAACGCTCCAATATGCTTCTTTGTTTGGAGAATAGGTATATCCACTTATTATCAGAATTCCTAAAAATATTTTCATTTCTCCAACTGTAATATTTGGGTTCCCATTATTATTTAAGAGCGAATATCTGTTTGACTCGTCACACAGCATTTGCAATAATTCATCATCAAAAAACTTTTGGAATTGCTCATATGGCTCTAGGTTGGTGTAGTCACTGTAATTACCCTCAGGGAAAATTGGAGATCTAGGTTCGATATTATCATCGACCCACGTAAAGGATGGTTTGGCCCCCTTAGCCTTACTATGTGACTGACCTGCAGTTATCTTACGACGACGAGATGTACTCGGCTTTTCGGATGCTTGCACAGAAGCAAATGATTCCTCCAAAAGGTTTACTTCTAACTCTGAGATAGAATGATTCAAGCAGTCTAAAATTTCAGCGTCCATATCAAAGTCGGGGTTCTCTTCGACGTCAGTATTTTTTCTTGTAACAATTTCACAATCCTCGACAAGCTGTGTATGTGACAAGTTTTCCAAAGTACCGCCGTCTTCATCTGCGGAATCATCACCTGAAAGAGCACCCGCGTCAGGAGCCTCTATATATATATAGCTTCCACTTCTTCTTCTTCATTATTTGTCAATTCGTCCAAAACTGCGCAAACTTCTTCAACAGTTAGTTTTGCCCTAATAAAGGAAGAACACGCACATAAATATGTATATTTTATATAGTTATACACTTCATAAGGTGAACCCGCGAACGTGACATATATGTCACAGCTACACAAGACGAAAAAAAACCTACAAATACAGTAATTTTCAATTTTTTTTTTTTATTAGCACAAAATTTCAAACACTATCAAAGTATACAAAACACTTTTTTCACATAAATCGCTGGTACTTTATTAAAAATCGTACTTACCGACAACGTGTTCCCATTTCGACAGTTTTTTTTAGGTGTATGAAATCGGCTTCGTGTTCACTGCGCTACTAATTTTGCTACACTAAACGGAAAGGGCAAAGTATAGCGCACACTTATTCTTTGATTTGTTCACTTCAATTCTAATTTATAATTTGGAACATTTAAAATTGCATTTCGAAAAAGTCGTAGATTTATGTGAAAGATCGGAGCGTTACATATATGTAACACTAGCGTTTAATGAGTTAATATTCCGTAACAATACTTTTAGTCAAAGAGCCAGTGAATAGTAGACTGCATGTGATTTACCAAAGCTCAAATTTTGTTCAGTCGAGCCCTAATACCTCCTACTTGGAACGGAGACTAACTAAGCCCGGCAGCGGTCAATACGGCGTCACGCAGGTCGCAAAGGTAGAAAATTTAGACCAACTTGGAAAGTATTTTAATAAGTCTGCAATTTAAGTTTTTTAACATCCAATGTTACTATTATTCGAAAATAATAACGGCAGACAATTATGGCGTATTTTAACAAATCCTAAATTTTATTATTTTACTTATTATAGTATTTGTAGCCTGTATTTATAAGGGCAGACATTCTGTCCGGTAATAACATCCCGGCAGAAAACGAAACCTAACTAGGTATACGAGCACACGTACAAATATAATGTACACTACACTGATACGATAGAAAAAACTTTGCAAATTTAAAAGCTTACTTCAAAAGGATTTAGCGGTTATAAAAATTTTCGTCCTTGGCGAGTCTCAAAAATACCCAAAACCCTGGTGAGTCCAAATGAAGTTTTCTTCATAACTGTTTTATATATTACTCGGTTCAAAAGTGTGATGCATTGTTGGAAAGATTGTTTTGAGTACTGTATATGTTTCTCAGATCATTTTACCGACCATGATTCGCCACGTAATGCTGATGTATTTTTAATAGATGCCTTTTTTATCTTACATTCAATGGAGGAAGTGCCTAAAACATTTGGAAATATATCTAAAAAAATTGTACAAATAGTTACAAAATACTCAGCTCAAAGAATCGACGTCCATTAAAGACAAAGAACGATCTCTGCGACATGAAGCACCACAAATAACTACACAATTTCAGGGCCTGATCAAGTAAGACCAACAGATTTTGCAAAAGAATTGAAGAACACTAAATTTAAAGAAGTTCTTATTGATTTCTTCACTATACATTATGCAAGTAATGAGGTTACACAATTTATCGGTAATAAATTGATTCGCCTGAATTTTCGAAATTGTCCTTTTATAAAAATATTGAAGAAGGAGTTGAAACGAGTATTGTTGAAGACCTATGCTGTAATTCCCATGAAGAAGCGGATAGTAAAATTATTCACCATGCATGTAGTATCGCCAATCAGCCTAATATTGTAATTAGGGGCTCTGATATTGACATTTTAATAACACAGGTCTACAAAAGAAAATCGATGAAAGGTTCCTTTGACCAGACCTAGTCTATTGTATGTTTTTGGGGTCGCTGAATACGAATCTGAAGTCCGGTTTGCTTCATCACGTCTGGATTTTTTTCTAACCTCAAAAAACATCTCGGGTTTTACGTGACAGAGAAAATCC